AAAAAAAAAAAGAGAAACTTACCAAAGATTTTATAGACTTAATCTTAATCATTCAACAGTTGAATTTAACAGACATCTACAGAACATTTTATCCTAACAAAATTGAATACACATTCTTCTCATCAGCCCATGGATCATCCTCCATAATTGATCACATCTTAGCTCACAAGCCTAACCTCACCAAATTTTTAAAAATGGAAATAATTCCTTGCATCTTCTCAGACCATCATGGAATGAAAGTTGAACTCAGTAACAACAGGAATCTTCATACTCCCACAAAGACATGGAAACTAAATAACCTCATGCTGAATAACAGCTGTGTCATAGATGAGATTAAGAAGGAAATTACCAATGTTTTGGAACAAAACAATAATGAAGGCATGAATTACCAGAACCTCTGGGATACTGCAAAGGCAGTCCTAAAAGGGAAATTCATACTGTTACATGACTTCCTCAAAAGAAAGAAAAGAGAGGAAGTCAACAACTTAATGGGACATCTTAAGCAACTGGAAAAGGCAGAATATTCCAACCCCAAATACAGCAGAAGAAAAGAAATAACTAAAATTAAAGCAGAATTAAATGAAATTGAAAACAAAAAGATTATACAATAAATCAAAAAGTTGGTTTTCTCAACAGGTTAATAAAATAGATAAACCTTTGGCCAACCTCATAAGAAATAAGAGTAAAATCCCTACTTCATTAATTAGAAATGATAAAGACCAAATAACAACAGACTCCTCAGAAATTCAACAAATCCTTAATGAACATTACATAAAACTCTATTCTCAGAAGTATGAAAATCTGAAGAAAATAGACCAATACTTGGAAATACGCCACCTTCCTAGACTTAGCCAGAAAGAAGTGGAGATGTTTAGCAAGCCTATATCAAATTCTGAAATAGCATCAACTATAAAAAATCTCCCCCAGGGGTGGAGCCAAGATGGCGAACTGCAGCCAGCTTTTTACAGAAGTTCCCGTCCAGAAGGAGGCTGAAAGGACAGAACCTTAGCAAAGTAGCTGATGGTTTGGAGCAGAGACAAGAGAGAAGATTGAAGAGTGCACTTCAACCTTCCTGAGGCGAGCTGCGACCC